GGAGTGTACTCCACATGTGGTCAGCCTGCTAAACACATCGGGAAACCCCGTGGCAGCCGCTGAAATCGACATCGCAGCGGCCTTGGCAATATCGGAGTGGCCCAGTCTTGCCCTATATGATCTTGTCTTTGTGGACAGGCAGCATTCAGAGCGGTGAGATATAGTAGCATTGGAAGGTGTTTGTGAAGAAGTTGCAGACCCACCGCTGCATCCGCGTCGAGAGCGATGCGACCGACAGGAGGATTGCCTTCTGGCAGATACTCAACTGTGGGTGCCGCGCGTAATGCTCCGCCGACAACCTCTCGCTTCCCGCCATGCAAACATTCAATCACTGGAGCCTGTGAGTTGGGGTTGTTTGGCTGTTGTGTTATGCTACAAATCTTCCTTAAGTTTGCACCTAACACCACTCCTCCCACTTTCCCAGTACCCTCCCTGCCTCCACAACTTGATACCCAGGTAGATGAACCAGGCGACTAAAATCACGTTCACGCTCACGCTTGCTGAAGGATCTCATCCTTGTGGTAAAGCAGTTCCAGTGTGACACCTATGGCAGTACCAGCAAGGTCCATACCATCGACACCCACTATGCCTGACATATTTATGAGATGTGCCGGTTGGGCAGCCTCCAGCGACTGTTCACGAGGTTTGGTAATTGAGAATTATCTTCGTCTCCTAGGCCTGGGAGCTGCTCGCCATTCGTACACTGAGGCCATCTGCAAATTCCTAGTCGGCGATGTCGTCCTGATGTGCACGGTTGAGATGTTGATGAACCCTCTGCAGGCATCCCAACCCAGTGGGTAGTTCGTCTTTCCCCTCTTGCAATGCGACCTGCCCACTTCGATCCTCATCCCCTTTATCCTCCCAGATACGCTGTCAAAATGTCTGAAATCGCCTACGACTACCAGGCTCTCCGCATAGGGTGGTACTTGCGAGTGACGTTCTTTGAGGGTGATTGGGCGATCTTCACGATCTGCAGCTTTGCCTACACCGTAGAGCCCATGACATGTTCTATCCCCGCCAGTCATCTGGTCGGAAACATGGAGCGCACTCACGCCATGGGGTTCGTCCACATGTTGGGGGTGGAGGTGGAGAAAGAGAACGACCATTTGACCATGTGCGAAAGTGTCCTTTATCGCCTGGCCCAGCACACGCAGATCCGGGGCAAAGAGGGCACCGGTCGCCTTCAAAAAGATATTTCCTAAGAAGTTGCCATAATCACAAACATCTTTTCCGTATCACTTCTGTTCTATGTCCAATCCCATACATACACTCACCCCCCTCATGCCTGCAAATTCCGCCTACAAAACTATCCCTCCACCACTCTTTTCGGATCTTCACACTGGATTATGGGGGGTGATGTTGGCGTCCCTGTTGGTGATCCTGGCCACCTTGCTGGACTTCCTGTTGAAGGTGGAGCAGTTCTTGTTGACGATTGAGCAGAAAAAAATCGATGAAAAAACAACTCCGAACATTTTCCCAGGCCTATAGTCAATTTATTGTGGCAGTAATTGTGCATTTATTGGACCTTTTCTGGTCCGAACAACAGGTGGTTTCACGAGTGCGAACTTTTGGCTTGTGAATTGTCCAGTTTTGCGAATGGGTCGCGTCAGCCAATCAGAAGAGTTTCGCAAAGAATCCGATTTCATTAGGTCAACCCTATGCTAATCTGCATACACCTTTTTTGGGCGATTGTTGCGAACCACCAGCTCCCCGTGTCGCTAAGCACAAGTCCGGCAGTTTGCACCTCAGAATCTGGGAATCTGTGACGAAAAACACAGAAAAACCACAGAAACACAGTCGGAACGTCTGAAGTCAAGATCAGTTGCTGGTCGGAGTCAAGTCAAGCTTTGCCTGTCGAAGACAAGCAAGAAAAGACCAACTCAACATACATTTGCTCCCATTCCCGTACAACACCCAGCCCCACGAACGCCGCCGAACTCCACCTCCCGCCATGTCAGCCTTGCGCGCTCTAGCTCCCGCTCAACACCCACTTCCACCCCCTCCGCCTGATCGCCCACCTGAAACCGTTCTCCTGGCCTGTTTGCTCGCCCGCCCGCCTGTGTTTCTCAGCATGCCCTTGCAGCCGACAACCCCAACGAGCTCGGCAACGAGCCTGCGGACGAAAACCGCCCCCCCATCTTCATCCACGAGCGGAAGCAGTCGCAGAAGAAAGCGAAGGTGGGCCCCAAGCCTCCGCAGAAAAAGAAGTCGAGGAGTGGGAAGCCGCCGGTTAAGGCGCAGGAGCAGGCAGTGACCACCGCGGGTGTGGACCAGTCGCAGAAAGCATAGACCAGTAACAGGCGGCAAGTGAGTCTTGGTTATCCTGAAGATCGGTAGATTGCGAGGGAGGGAGGGAAGGTGAGGGCGCGCGTGCGAAGGAGGGGGATTCCGAGGGAGGGCGAGGGGGCCAGGGGAAACAAAGAGAGAGAGAGATTGACAGACAACATCCCCGCTCCCCCTTCCCGACAGCCGATATCTTGGACCAAAGATGGCGCCGTCCAGGAGGATGGCTCTGTTGACCCTTCATCAGAAGAAATCATCTTCAACTGGCTTGCGGCCGAGAAAAGGGGGTGTGTGGGTCACTGTGCGAAGCCGGCGCAGAATATTGAGGAGCAGCTCGATTGGGAGTTGGGACCAGCGAGATCCCGCTTCAGCCGCTCATTCTCACCGTGTTGAGCACTCCTAACCTTTCAGCTGACCCCATTTTTATCGCCTGAGGCTCAAAGATACATGATAAACTAACAGCGCAAGCCCGACCCCAGCTACCACGCGTGCGCAAAAGCCCTACCCAGCATACCGCCGCTTCTCAGCATCCCAACCCCGCAAACCGACGTCCATCATAAGCCCGATTCTTGAACGGATCCACAGCATCACCCGAAAACTCAGCCTCATCCAATCACTTCCAAGCATGATCCCCACCCGGAATCGGCCGAAACGTGGCCCATCCCTTCAGGCGCAGGCAGGCGCGCCTGATGTCCTTTGCGAACAAGGCGTTCTCCGCCTTGAAGGCAGGCTCGCCGTCTTCGGGTAGCTCGCAGCGATGATGTTTGGGGCGTAGGACGCGAGGACGGCGAACGGAGCTGGGCCGAGCCATTCGAGGCAGAAGGAGCGGATTTGGGAGCCTTTCGCGCGGAGGAGGGCTTGTTTGGTAATGCGATACTGGCCGTCGAACTGACGGCATTCCAGGGGCGGGTGGTCTTCGAGGACGGCGAGGGTAAAGTCGGTGACTGGCTGACAGGCGCCGAGGTTGAGCATTCGTCTCGTTGGGCATGACTTGAGCAGAGTGGTCAGAGTCGATTCCGATTCGAGGGTCACGCCCTCGAGTCCGACGCGGCGAAGAGGGGGCTGGAGAGATGCGATCATGACGACGAAGTCAGTGGAGACTTGGAGATCGGTTTGATGGGCCGTTCCTCGCTCGAATTTGATGCATTCCAGCCAGGGTAGCGAGGTCGCCGTCATGTGATGCGCGCGGCGGCAGCTGTCTGCGACTCAGAACCGGGGTTGGGGGCCGATGGCGGAGTACACGCTGCGGAGCGTGGTTTTCGAGCCGACGTCAGCCATGTGGAGGAACTTTAGCCTTTTCACGGTGCTTGCGATCTCGGCGACTTTCGCATCTTTCTCGATCCGACTGACGGGACAATCGAGTTGGAGCGCGGAGAGCAGAGGCGAGGAGGTGTTCAGCCGGGGGAGAATATCGTCGGCAAGATAGCCGGAGTCGCCAGAGAGCTTCAGCCCACGCAGTTAGCGTTAGCGATTGCGCCACCCCGGGAGAGGTAGCTGGAGCAAGAGACTCAGGGTCTTAATTACGAACTTACCGAGTGAAACGTGGAAAGCCTGCGTGCTGGCGCCTAGCAGGATCTGGAGAAAGTTGTTCGAAGAACAGGAGAACCGACGAGAGGATGGTCTTCACGGATCTGCGGGAGATTCAGGCGATGGCCAGAAAAGGGATTAGTATGCTGCCGCTTCTGAACTTCTTCTCAACGCCCTCCCCTCGCCCTCCTCGCTCCCATTAAGATGTAACAGTGTTTTTGAGGGACCCGCCAGCGTGGAGCAGGTAGGTCGAGGAATCTGCCCGCGCATTTCCCCCCTCCCCCGCTTCCTTCCTCGCGCCGTCTAAACAAGCGTTGCCCACCTTCCGCAAGCCCCTTATTCGGGAGTGGGGAGGGCTTCAGTAAAAAGAGCAGACAAATGTACCGATGGGATGGGTCTGAAAACGCCAGTGCGAGTTAGCGAATTATCCTGATGGCTTGACAGCAAAGAGTCAAGACTCACCTGGGGCTGCAAGCTCGCCCTGAGCAGCGTCTGATGGGGACCTCGCCGTGAAGAACGGTCTGGAGCTGGTCGAAGAAGGGAATGTCCACTGTCAAAATGTCACACCTCGAGCAGAAGCGGGTGGCGCAAGTGAAGAAACGCGTGGCGCATACGTGACCTTCTTGCTTTTGATCCACACCTGCGCCGTGCCGCATTTCCTCTCTCCTCGGCAACCGTCAACCGCTGCTCGATGGCCCGAAAGTCGAAAGTTTCCTTTCGGTTTGGGAAAGACTTTAAACCCCGTAGTTCTGTGTTGATTTCCTTGGAGGACTTCCCGAAGTTATCACCTGCTGGTGAACATTGGAGGCGGAACGACAGGTTGAGGGTCGCACCTGGGTCGGGTGAAGTCAAGAGACGCAGCACGTCATGTTGAACTCGGGGTGGTGATGCGGAGAGGACCAGGAGAAGATACGTCGCACGCCTCCCCGATGTTGACCGCCTCGTGAGCCACGACGGTGGTCTGTTGTCTGTGGTGCTATGACGGCAAGAAGTGTTGGACGCCAGCCCCCCTGTCCCTGAAGCCGGACGTCCTGAGGCGAAGTTTGGTCAAATAGGTTTCGCTCCGAGGACGTGCTGCATTGTCGGCTGTTTTGAGCAGCGAGCTGCGTACACGAGGGACTCCTCGCTGGACTGAAAGAGAGTCAGTGATGCACCTGACATCACTAACACAAAAAAGGAGATTTATTGAATGGAGGCTGCGGGGTTTGAACCCGCGGCCTTCTGCATGCAAAGCAGACGATCTACCACTGATCTAAGCCCCCGTTTTGATGTTAACCCAGCTTTATCTCAAATATAACCCCAAGCAGTTTGCTGCAAAAGAACCTAAAATCGTGCCGAAGGGCATCACCCCAAGCCAAGACGGTCTTCCCTCTGGCGAAACGCGGTCGCTGCCCTTTCCACTTTTAGCGGCTTTTTTTAAGGCGACTCACAGAGGTTCTGATCTGATTGCATAGAGAAAATTACAAAGAAGGGCGAGAGGAGGATATGCGAAGATTTCAAGCAGAGTCGGTCTTGGCAACGTGGATGATCAGATCAATGACACGGTGGGAGTAGCCGTACTCTGCAGCGGACGAGAATAGTTAGGACGGGAACGAAGTGAGTGAGAATCGCGACGCTCAGAGTCCAAAAGAGGCGAGGAAGGTCAGTGCACGACTACGTACCGTTGTCGTACCACGACACAAGCTTAACGAAGGTGTCGTTGAGCGCGATACCGGCCTTGATATCGAAAATGGACGAGCGGGTGTCGCCGAGGAAGTCGGAGGAGACGACCTCGTTGTCGGTGTACCCGAGGATGCCCTTGAGGTCTGAGTCCGCGTGCTTCTTGATGACGGCGACGATCTGGTCGTACGTCGCGGGCTTGGCGAGCTTCGCGGTGAGGTCGACAACGGAGACGTCGGGGGTGGAGACGCGGAACGACATGCCGGTGAGCTTGCCGTTCAGCTCGGGGATAACCTTTCCGACGGCCTTCGCCGCACCGGTCGAGGCGGGGATGATGTTCTGGAATTGTAAATGGAAAGCCGATATTAGATTACTGAAGTGTGCGACGCACCAGATGGCGATACCTCCGCGTCCGAACTCGGGCCGATCCGTACCTGGCTGGCACCACGACCCGCACGCCAGTCCTTTCCGGAGGGACCATCGACGGTCTTTTGGGTGGCGGTGACGGAGTGGATAGTGGACATCAGACCCTCGACGATTCCGAACTCGTCGTTGATAACCTTAGCGAGGGGCGCGAGGCAGTTGGTAGTGCAGGAGGCGTTCGAGAGGATGTCGATGGACTTCTCGTACTTTGTGTGGTTCACACCTACGACGCAAGTAAAGGAAAGGAAAAGAAAGAAAGAAAGAAAAAACATCAACAACCGACACAGCTGCTTGCTGTTCGAGCACCCCCCCTGAAAAGATGCAGGCCCCGCCCACATACCCATAACGAACATGGGCGCGTCAGCCGAGGGGGCGGAGATGATGACCTTCTTCGCACCACCAGCAATGTGAGCCTTTGCCTTGTCTTTGGTGGTGAAGACACCGCTGGACTCGACAACGTAGTCGGCACCGGCCGCTCCCCACCTGATGGCAGCGGGGTCGCGCTCGGAGTAGACGGTGATCTCGTGGCCGTTGACAATGAGCTTTCCGTCCTTGTGGGAGACGGTGCCCTTGAAGCGGCCATGGGTGGAGTCGTACTTGAAGAGGTAGACCTGTTGCGTGGGATGCGAAAGTAGATGCAAGCGGTGTCAACAACGCGCAGGTAGCTGATTCCTCGCGTTGCATTGCCTTCGAATTGACTGTCTCCCCGGACAACTTCTGCAAGCTCCAACGCACCATGTACTCGACATCGGTGAAGGGGTCGTTAATGGCAACGACCTGGACCTCGGGCTTCTCGAGGGAAGCGCGGAAGACGAGACGACCAATGCGGCCGAAGCCGTTGATACCGATCTTGATGGGAGCCATAGTTGATCTGTTTGTGGTTTTTGAGGGAAGGGGGACAGAGGAACGTGTCTACAGTCGATCCCTGATTCAAGTGGCCGCGTTTGAATACCCTTCCGAATTGATGATCGTCAATCGATAGTCGATGAAGACTAGAGGCCGGAGGCTCTCTCCTAATCCGATTCCCCTCCCGGCCCATCTGACCTTCCGCTGCGGCACCAGCAATACCGTCCTCTGGCACGTCGTGTGCATGCGGGCGCCCCAGAGAAGACGCCGTGGTCTTGATTCTGGGCAGGTGTTCGGCAGGCCGAGCTGAACTGCCTCCACTTCCGAGGATCCCGCGACCAGGCAAATCGATGAGCGAGAAAATTGTCACAGAAGGAACAGAACGCAAGCACAGGGGAGAGCGAGGCGATTCGCGCGCCGTTCTTGTCGAAATCGCCGTTAGCCTCGGGGGAGAGGGGAATCTTCCATCAAACAAAGTGTTCTGAGCGTCACATTTTACCTGAAGTTCGCATGAGAGCTCGCTCTCGTTCGTCCGGTCCACTCCAAACAGCCAAACCCTCTCGCTATCGAAAAAATAATGAGGAGGTCAAGAAGATTAAGGGGAAGCGGCCGATTGATTCGAGCCAGCAGGGAGCTTGAGTACTGTCTGTCGTCCAATGCGGTACTGTTCTAGGGAGAAGCGTCGAGCTTTAGGCCGGATGAACGACTGAAGGCTTGAAGAGTCTAATGCTCTTCTTGCGAAGACGGTTGTGCCTGTCTGCTCGGGGCGTCGATACTTGAAGTCGACCTCAGCTGCCAGCTGGTCTTCACTTCTTCGAACTTTCCAGCTCTCCTTTTTTCCAAAGCACAACAAATATTGAGCAGGGTCCCGTTCTCCAGACTCATGGACATATGTCGACCATTTTGAGGGAGGGAAGTGGGCAAAGGGAAGAAAAAAGGTACCCGGCGAGAACTCCTACAGATCGAGTGCGTACAGTGGTGAAGAACCGCAACAACGTGGAACGGAATCTGCCTGCCCCGGCGTTGTGTTGGAGGCCTTGACCGACCAGACAAGAGGGTTGCGATTCGACCTGGTCGCCGCATCATCCTCGCAGCCGCCGCACTATGCGCTTTCCCGTGTTCCAACCAACTACTTGCAGTTTGCTCACGGGCTCCACCGGTGCACGACTTCTCCGAACCAACATGGCCAGAAACCCGCGCAGCGCAGAACCAAACGGCCTGCTCCCTACTCGCTTCCAGGATCGCAGACCCGGCATTAACATCATGCTTGAGCCATCGCATCTCCGACCTTCTCGTCCCATTACTCACTCCCTCGATCCAAGGACGGAACAAACGAAGCATATCAAGACAACGAAAAAGTGCTGCCGCACCCTATATTACACGAAGGCATTCTCCTGGGACCCGCGAAAGAATGTATTTAGATGTTGGACGGGTACAACATCTGCAAACAAAGGATGACGGGGGGGGGGGGGGGGGGGAGCGGAGGGAGTGCAGGAAGAGAGGCAGTCAGAATTTCCGTTCATCAACATCCGAGTATGCCATGCACCATCTGCTCCATGATCAGCGCCCTGGATCAACGTTGAGGATACACCCGCCGCGAGCCCCGTACATATATTCTTCCTTCCCGATTGGTCCCACCCCTCTCATCGAACCAGCCCCCCTCCCCCACACACAGAAACTCACCACCCTGACGGAGGCGCCGAACGCCTTAGGGGGAAGGTTAGACCTGAACTTCGCACGGACGCCGCCGGAGGTACCGTGGGGGCGAGTGACGCGGCCCCAGATGACGCGAACGCGGGAGCCGTCGATCTCGCGCTTCGCGCGGTAGACGTAAGCGACGCGCTTGCCAAGGTAGAAGGCGGTGTCAGTCGAGGTACGGACACCCTCGATCTGGAGGAGCGCGGTGTGCTCCTTGGTGTTGCGCTTCGAGCGGGTGTAGCCGAGGAACTTGCCCTTGGCGTAGAGGCTGGGGGGGGGGGGGGGGGGGGGGGGGGG